ATAGACCGCCCGGCCGCCGCGGAATGTGTCTCTGGACCTGACGTTATGCGGCTGGGGCGCCGTGGGGACCACGACACCGAACCCATCCCGTGTTCAAAATCTGATCAGCGACGGAGCATCATGCGACTCGGAGTGAAAGTGGCACCGGGCGGGAGGGCTTCGCCGAATGGCTCCTGGTTGGTTATACATCACGGGACGCGCCGGCCGGATTGAAAGGCGTGCTGGCGGTGCGGGCGGTCGGCGGCGGCGGGCGGCGCGGCCGACCGCGCCCCAGCGCCAGGCGGAGGACCTCGATTTGTCTGCTACATTGTTGGTCGGGCCGGCGTGACAGCGCTGGAGATAATTAGGCCGATAGCATCGGTCGTTCGGCGGCGGGAGAGGAGGAGCGTCGCCCGCGCCTCACAACGGGGATCCGGTGACAGGCGCACGGTGGCGGGCGAACGGCACAGGCCACAGCACAGGTCACAGCACAGTTCACAACACAGGCCACAGCACAGGTCACAGCACAGGTCATAGCATAAGTCACAGCACAGGTCACAGCACAGTTCACAGAACAGGCCACAACACAGGTCACAGCACAGTTCACAGAACAGGCCACAACACAGGCCACAGCGCAGGTCACAGCACAGGTCACAGCACTGGCCACAATACAGGTTATAGCACAGGTCACAGCACAGGTTTCAGCACAGGCCACAGCGCAGGTCACAGCACAGGTCACAGCACTGGCCACAATACAGGTCACAGCACAGGTTACAGCACAGGTCACAGCACAGGTCACAGCACAGGTTAGAGCACAGATCACTGCACAGGCCATCGCATGGTCACAGCATGGGTCTCTGAGCTAAGTGTGCGCTAAGTGCCGCCGAAGAGCGGGTTTGACCGATATTTATTCTCATTAGATCACATCAGCGGGTGAAAGCGATCACTCCCGCGGACTGCATAAGGTGCACTCGCCTTCCTCATCCGGCCCACGGGCTGCCACCTGTCCATTCCATGTAAAAGGTGCTCAATGCTGCTACTTCGAAGTAGATCACAATTTCCTACTGACTGAAGTCACTAAATGGGCGCTAAAATAACAAAAATTGAATTCAATTGCGCGTTCCCGCAAGCGTAATTTTCGAACAGGTTTTGTAATTGCGCCCTTTGAAACCTTAAAAAATTGTCACTAGTTAAAAAACATTATCGGTGGCGTAAGCTGGCCGAGAGATCTGAAAAAGATATAATTCAGTTTTGCTCAACCCACGCGATTTTGACATCCCTGGTGTTTGGAAAACAGATAATTTCCTTTAACGTGGCGCAACGTAGACATTCTCCCCTAGATCATGAACGCCATGAGCCAGGGTGACCAAAGGTCAGAATAGTCTAATTGTGGTCATCGCCGCTCTAGGCATCATCTTAACAATCTTTGGGAATTTGTGGACCCGCGGGTCTCATACCTGCCTGCCTGCAGTCGGTACCTTTACTGCGGGCGGCGGCGACTGGTGCGCTCGTGTCGCGATCTGAGCAGGTACAGTTATTTTGACTTGTCAGCAGGCAGCAATGAAAAGCTTTGCATTTTGTTGGCCTGTGGACGACAACGTTTATACTTTAAATTTGCCATATTTGTTTGTTCCTGAAATGGACTGCACTGCGTCGCATCCTGTAGTGTTGGTTATTTACACATATTTAGACTCCATATCTTCTACGCGCATTTGCCTTCAGTCCTTCGGCAACGGCGCGTCGATTGGCGTACGTGCACCCGCGCCTTGATTTCTGCCGGTCAGTCGACTACGCCGCGCTGAGTAGTGAGCTTTTTGTTGCAGTCGGACGAAACGCGCCCTTTTTGGAACAGCAGCAGCCAAAACGACACATGGTCTATACTGACCATCAGGTCATGTAAAAATAACTCTATATCCTCCTTCATCAATGCCTATTTGCCACCAAAAAATCAACTACGTCACGTCGGATGATGTACTGCTTGTGGCGCGTAAATTGTGACAAGGAAAGATGGTTTTTGAGCATGTCAGCATTGTTGCCTGAGGGTTCAGCATTTCAGTAATACTGAAGAGGAGGTTCTCGATACCCTCACCCAGAGTCAATCACTCCTCAAATAGGCCTTAGGCAACGCATCACAGCTCAGACGGCGACGGGCACGCGCTGCCGCCTAAATCTTATGGAAGGCGTCATATTTGCCATTCAGACCGGCCGTAGGGCAATAGGCCAACGACGGTGCGTGTTGGTGCTGGAGACGGAACCCAGCGTATTCCATTTTCATGGGCAGAATGGACTAAGCCCAGTATGGCCTTAAAAGAGGCATGCTGCGAGTTTCAATTTTAAGTTTCCGGTGTGCACTGGCGTCGCGGTCTCGAAGAGCAGTCTGCGACATCAATCTTTCACAAAAAAATGTCACCCACTCCCACTCCAAGCCACGTCAACAGTCCCATCACATATGTCTGGCTCATCAACAGCCACAGGCATGGGATCGTGTGAAAGTCTAAGCCCGCGCAGGAAGACACGGGAGTCAGGAGTAGGCCGGCCCCAGGAGTACGCGGACCTCAGGAGTAGGCGGGCCTCAGGAGTAGGCGGGCCTCTGGAGACGGCTGGCCTCAGGAGTAGGCGGGCCTCTGGAGACGGCTGGCCTCAGGAGTAGGCGACCACGGAGACGGCCGTCCGCCCACCGGCGGCGCCGGCCGGCGGTGGAGGTGGCCCGGCTCGGTGCGGGCCTCCCCGGCGCTGGTGACCGATCCTATCGGTAACGAATGCCACCATTATAGGCGCCTGGTCCGCCGACTGAGAGAGAGAGCTGACGGCGACCGGCGCCACTTTGGTGAAGCATCTCTTGACCTCTGTCAGCGCTCAGGGGTACAGTGGGTACTGTCAGAGGTACAGTGGGCCCGCTACGGACCAGGGCGGGGCGAGGGCCGACGCTGCTCTCGACTGGTTCTGCCGCTAATCCGCCATGGGCTAACTTTTACGCTTTGGGGTGGGGTACGCAATTAAACATACCGGATATCTTTTAACATCCTAACATAATCATGATTCACTAGCATAACAATAATTATGATACTTGTTTGCTCTAAGTCTGTTGTTCGGGACTTTTACATGTTTCATGTACGGCGAATGGCAGGTGTAATAGAAGTTTTCTCAAGTGGGAGGAAGCAATTGCCATTTCTCTGTTCAGACAGCGTTACTAGGACTAATGCTAAACTTTCAGAAAATATGGGAGCTCCCTTGCCCGCCTAGTCTTACAAGTTCCGGCGCACCGGCGGACAGCTGAGACCAGGGCTGGTGGTCGGCCGGGCCCAGCCAGCAGGCAGCTGAGACCAGGGCTGGTGGTCGGCCGGGCGTCGTGACCAGACCGAGCTGACCGCGCTGATCGGTCCCAAAGTCGTGACCCGACGCCCATTGAGGCCGTTCTTTGACCGGGATTATCGGCGATTATCTGCCGCCCAGCTCAACACGTGCGGGCCGGGTCAGGCTGGCCCCGATAGACGGACGGACAGATGGGAGGTCGGAGCGAGGCAGAGGACTGTCGGTGACCTATGGCGGCCGTCCGTGCCGCCCGGCGACCGGCAGCTGTGAGACAGCGGCGTCAGTCAGCGGCGACGGCCGCTGCTGGCGCCGCCCTGGCGGCCTCTCCGGCGCAGATCTACGCTCGGCGCGGCGCCTCACACAACGCCCGGGTGCGAACGTCAGCGGCCTGACCTCCCTCTGTCTGGGTCATCGGGTCGGGCCCGGTGTCACCGCCGCCTGGACACGGCCGCCGGCCCGATATGGCGCTGGAATGGCGACAGGCGGCGGCAGCGGCATCTGCTGCGGCCGGCCAGCCCGCAACGGAGCTCCGCTGGTCCTGAGTCGCGCCGGGTCACCGAGCAGCAGACAGGTGCTGGTCCTGAGTCGCGCCGGCTCACCGAGCAACAGACAGGTGCGGCCTGGCCCGGCCGGCCTCTGCCGGTGGCGTTCAGGGCGGCAGGTCACGTGCCGGCCGCCCATCTCACGACTTGATCAGGCGCGCCGCGGAGGCCGGGTCACGTGGCGGTCCTCTGTTCCGGGTCACTCCCAGCAGGTCTGATCAGATGAGCCCCGGGGGTCTGTGCTGCGGCCGCAGCACGTGCACTGCCGAGGCGAGATTGAACGACGGGAGGCCGCTGTCTGCTGCCAGGCCCCGTGGGGCCTACGCGGGCCCCGCCCGGCCCGAGCGACCGCAGCCGGCTCCTCTCGCCGGCGCTGAGACCGCGCCCCCGCGCTCGTGCCGTCTGGGACAGACATTTTCAAACGCTGGTCTGACGATAGCCGCCGGGCCAGCAGATACGCTGAGTGTGCCGCCGCGGCCCGACACAGCCCCGCTGCAGGCTGGCGCCGACTCAGCGTTTACCAGAACATTTCGACTCCGTAGACGCCGTCGCATAGGGGAGACGAACCGACAGTTGCTGTGGAAATGGAATCTCGATGCTGTTAGCCGAATGAAAAGCATGCAGGATAAAGATAAAGTTATCCTGCAAGCTAGAGTGAAGGAGCCGAGATTGTCTTACGTCGTGTTATGTCATCCATTTTTGAGTCTTCGCTTAGCGTTCCTAAGGTGTCATGTTCCTCGTCATCAGAATTTAGGAAGTGTGGAAAACGACAGACGGAAATCCGCCTCAGTGGAGAGGGGGAGGAGGGCGCCGGGACCTTCCCGCTGCTTCTTCGCATGACCTGTGTCTCATGTGAAACGGTGGTTTGCGTGGCACAACGCGATAGCGGCGAGCATTGGCGCCGCCCGCTAACAAGTAAGAACTCGGTGTATTTGAGCCAGCTTGAGCTCTAATATGTATGGCGCTCAGTTCGCAGAGGCCTGCATCGTCTTCCGGAATTCAGGATAAGTTAACAGAGCGCGTGGACATAGCCGAACCGGCCGAGCGATTGCTGTTCAAAGTGAGTGTTATCGCGTCACACGGCGCCGTGCCAGCGGGGGGGGGGGGGGGGGGGAGGGGCGGCTCAGCGCCACACGTTGATGACGCCACCTGCCCGGCCTCACTTACCTTCAGGTCCAGGTGAGCGATCAGCTTGGAGTGCATGTGCTCTAGGCCATGCAGGATCTGCTTGATGAAGAAAGACGCTTCGGCCTCCGTCAGCCTCTCGCGCTCGGTGACGTACTCGAACAGCTCCCCGCCGCGCACCCTGAGACAAGAGCTGAGGTCAGATCACGCCAGGTTACGGGTTGAGGCTGGCCGTCTGGTGTCTCAGTCACCCAGGGCCGACTGCGATGGAGCAAAAATACGGGGCAAACGCCATACAGCGGAGACATCGGACGTGAAGCGGTGTGATCGGCGACAAACGTCTGACCTGGAGGAGACGAGGGCTGCTGCGAATCTGCAGACGTGACGTGGACGCCTTTGATGGAGTGAGATAACAGACGTCACATGGAGAGAGGACTGACTGACGGGGTAATTGCCAGGCCGAACGGCGGCTGGCATCACGCGAGCCGATGGCAGCGACAAGAGCCTCACGCCGCGCGATAGATCCAGACCGGACCTGCGCCGCATACTGAGATCGGGCGCCGTGCCCAGACCGGCCGGCCGCGGCCAACAGCGCGCCCGTCGCTGCCGAACAGCCGCCGCCCCGTATAGTCATCACTCTTCATTACTCCCACGAGCCGGATTGATTAACCCTTTAAACGATGTCGCCATGTGACGTCGGCGTGACACTGTGCTCTCCAGCGCCTTCGCAGGAAACTGCGGGATGTGCAAACATTGTTTGTGGTGTGCTGCACAACGCTGTGAGAGAGAGAGAGAGGGGGGGGGGGGGCAGCTCCAGGTCAGAGAAGCCGGCTCCAGGTCAAAGAGCGCCGGCTCCAGGTCCGAGAGGACCCGCTCCAGACCCGAGAGCTCCAGGTCAGCCTGTCCACCCATCCGTCAGCCAGGCGCTTGCCTCGGCAGCTCGGTCGACGCCGCGGCGCCCCGATCAGCGAGGCGAAACCCCGGCCCGCCCGGCCTCGGTCGCCGCTCCCGCGGCGCCGGCCGGCCGGCCGCCTCCGGCTGCTCCGCTCGGACGCGACGCTGCAGAGCAAGGCCGCGGCCGGTCAGGGCCGCCGACAGCTCGCTCCCAGAGGGCAGCGCCGGCACGGCTCTGAGCACAGCGCGGCTAGACTGGACTGCACACGGCGGCACGGCGCCGGGAGGCGCACGACCGCGAGCCAGCAGCAGATCGGTCAGACCAGCGGCGGGTAGATCGGTCAGACCAGCGGCGGGACGTCAGATCGGTCAGACCAGCGGCGGGACGTCAGATCGGTCAGACCAGCGGCGGGTAAACAGGACGCCGCGTCCGTGCGGCGGGGGCCCTCGACGGCGTCGAATGGCTGCGATAGTGCCGGGCTTTATCATGCAGATGACATCGCTCACAGCAGATAAAACGCTCGGACGACACGCGTCGCAGTGCAGGCGGCAGCACTTCTGCTGTACGCTACGCTGGGGGAAACGGCCAACATCGCTAGATTTATGCGGGCGGCGTGGCGCCGATTTGGCGCCCTCCCTGCCGGCCATGCTCTACTTTCCGTAAATACGAGGCGCGAGCGTCCATACTCTCCAAGGTCCCCGCGCCACTCCAGAGGCCGCAGGCGCCGGGGGTTGAGGACTCAGGACTGGGTTTAGTGGACAGCACGTGACTCTTTGATTTTACGCTGTCCGTCTTATACTTACGGATCAGGACAAGCGGCTATACGGACCGACGTAAGGATCATCACCAGCTCCACCGTCCCGTACGAAGTCGTCGCTGAGCCAGGGCGTCGTCAATCGCCACCGGTCGGCGCCAGCCCGTCGTGAGGGATCCCCGGTCAGTGCCAGTCCGTCGTGAGGGATCCCCGGTCAGTGCCAGTCCGTCGTGAGGGATCCCCGGTCAGTGCCAGTCCGCCGTGAGGGATCCCCGGTCAGTGCCAGTCCATCGTGAGGGGTCCCCGGTCAGTGCCAGTCCGTCGTGAGGGATCCCCGGTCGGCGTCAGCCCATCGTGAGGGATCCCCGGTCAGTGCCAGTCCGTCGTGAGGGATCCCCGGTCGGCGCCAACTCGTCGTGAGGGATCCCCGGTCGGCGCCAGCCCGTCGTAAGGGATCCCCGGTCGGCGCCAGCTCGTCGCGAGGGATCCCCGGTCAGTGCCAGTCCGTCGTGAGGGATCCCCGGTCGGCGCCAGCTCGTCGTGAGGGATTCCCGGTCAGTGCCAGTCCGTCGTGAGGGATCCCCGGTAGGCGCCAGCTCGTCGTGAGGGATCCCCGGTAGGCGCCAGCCCGTCGCGGCCAGCTCACGTCAGGTCACCAGGTCGGCCGCACCCCGGTGCGCCACGTTCGCCGTTCGTCGACACAAAGGCGGCGATCGCGGCGCAATGGCGGCAATGACAGCGGCGGACGTGAGCAGCGTGGCGATGACCGGCCCGGTGGACTAGTTCGGGCGGCCGAACAGTGGGAGTGGCCGACGCGGCCCAGCTCAGCCGGCCGAACGGTCACGTGTCGGACGGCTCGCTCGGCGGCAGAACAGTCTGTTGGCAGCGCTTATCATTGCTCTCCATACGGCAGTAAGACCATCTTACTAACGGAACCTCACCAAGGGCCTTCCCTGGTAGAGCCCCTCCCCTAGGAAATAATCTAGCACTGTCTAATGTCTGTGCGCCCTCGCGCCGGCGCTACGGACGGTTGCGGCCTGACTAGCGACAGCCGCCGTCCCCAACACAAGCCGGACAGTGCGCCCATCGGTCCAGTCTTCCTGTCCGACAGGGGCCGGACCTGCGCTCACAAGTGCACTGCACGACTGACTCCCCGTCGGGTCTGAATCCACCGCCAGACGCCGGCGAACGAGCGAATGCTATCTGCCCCCGAGCGAGGTTTGCAGACAGCCGCCGACGGCAGAACAATGGGTCGCCCGGAGCATGCGTGGGAGCGCAATGCGGCCAATCGGAAGCAGAACACCGAGAGCGCGGCCGGCATCTCATGCCGTCGCCGCCCGGAGCATGCGTGGGAGCGCGATGCGGCCAATCGGAAGCAGAACACCGAGAGCGCGTCCGGCATCTCATGCCGTCGCCGCACAGAGCATGTCGCTCTGTAAGCAGCGTGGGCGCGCCGCAAATGCCACTGTTCTTGCACGCGGCGTGCCGTGAGGCCACCAGCAAACATTCCCCAAGGCCGCTTTCAGGTGTCTAAGGCCGCGCACTGCTTTGTGGTACGTCTACAAAGTGATGAGGCTTCTGTGACGCATCTCAGCATCCATTGCCAGGGTTGCATGCCCTATGTTCCACGTACTCCAGGTATCGACTGCGCGTTATATTTGTCTCTGTGGTCTGCACCTGAGAGGGGGCAATAACCATAAATTTCCATCGAAAATTATAAGCCATAAAAGGCTTCACTGTGTATGGTCGGTGGCCATTTATTCTGAACGATCGTGAGATAAACCATAGAGAACACGACTAACACCATCTAGAGATCAAAACAACCCTTTGGGATATGTCGGAAGGCTATGCAGCGGGCTGACACATTCATTACATCACGACGTAATGACGGCGCCGTATATTTATGACCACCTCAGACGCCTGAGTGGACAGATGCCGGCCTGTTTGACCTCCCTGCCGCGACGGTGATCAGAGTAGCCGGCTGATCGCCGGACCAGACAACGAGCGGCGCCATGTCGGCCTCATCAGCGCCCGGCTGCTGACCGGACCAGACAACGAGCGGCGCCATGTCGGCCTCATCAGCGCCAAGCTGCTGACCGGACCAGACAACGAGCGGCGCCATGTCGGCCTCATCAGCGCCCGGCTGCTGACCGGACCAGACAACGAGCGGCGCCATGTCGGCCTCATCAGCGCCAAGCTGCTGACCGGACCAGACAACGAGCGGCGCCATGTCGGCTTCATCAGCGCCTGGCTGCTGACCGGACCAGACAACGAGCGGCGCCATGTCGGCCTCATCAGCGCCAAGCTGCTGACCGGACCAGACAACGAGCGGCGCCATGTCGGCCTCATCAGCGCCCGGCTGCTGACCGGACCAGACAACGAGCGGCGCCATGTCGGCTTCATCAGCGCCTGGCTGCTGACCGGAACGCGACGTGGTCTGCCGTGCCCCAAGCGTCGCACGCCAACGCAGGCGCACCACATCCGTCCGCTGGCCTCAGTATCACTCACCAACACACGGCCACCGCACTGCCCCCACTGACACCAACGGGAGACAACCACAATATGCCGCCACCCAGCAGCCGAAGCAGGCGGCAGCGCCAGCACCATTCACCGGGATGTACATATACACAGGGTCGGCAGGGGAGCACGGCCCGTGGTAAGACCTGAAAAGATCAACTGAAAGACACACAGGAGCTATCAGCTGTTCTAGACCGATAGTCCGGCGAGATTGCAGAGCTCTCCGGCTGTTGCTTCAAGTGTCACGGATTGGAGGTTTTCGGTGAAAGCGCTCTGCCACGAGCGCAACATGTGTGTATCCCATTCCTGCTATGGGCAAGGTGCACAGGTAATTTGAGGGGGTGTTAAAGCATGACGTTTGCATCAAGTCAGCACCGATTCCGAGAAAATAACATGGAAATTGCCGTTTGCAACTGGTTTAAGATTGCGAAAACGTGATTTATGACTACTGTTCACTTATTTGTTTGATCTTGACGAGCTGTTATAGCTTAGAGCTAGCTGTGAGTTGCAATTTTCAGCTCATTACACCAGATTTTTATCAGTCCTAATGAGCTATATACACGTCAGTCATTTCAGCCATTTTTAACTGAAGATAACGGGCCCACCACTGCGTGACTGTGCGCTTATCAACCTTAGCTGTAGAAAATATGCAGGCTTGTTGCGTTCACCGAAGCGACATATATCAAAAAAGACATGTGAATGACCAGGCTCGACTAGGTCACGTGCCACACACCGTTTGCGTTGGGTCACAGACCACAGACTGTCTGAGATGGGTCGCGTACTAAAAACGGCCTGGGAAGGCCCATGTGCAACAAACTTTGTCGACTAGGGCAGATACCACCGCACATCCACAGGTAGGCTGGTGAAACGGGACGAGGCGGACAGACGCTGCCACGACTCTCCGGCCCCTGGTGGCACTCTGGGCTGGAGCATCAGTGGGCACATTAGGGGACAGGACGAGGCGGACAGCCGCTGTCACGACTTTCCGGCCCCTGGTGGCGCTCTGAGCTGGAGC